TTTTTAATAAAAGTAGACAATAGCGAGAAATTTTTATCTTCTTGGTACGAAAATATTTAGCCAACTTTCCCTAATAATTAAGATATGCATAAGGACAATGATTAATAAAGAAAAGGAAAAAAAAAGCTGAGCGTGAGAGAAAGATAAAACAAAGGAACAAAATAAAACGAAAAAAAAAAAAAGTAGAACAGAAAGACCAGTGGTATTCGCATAGTCAAAGGTAAATCGATAAACCAACTGGTGGTTAAAACGCATCGGAACGTTTGCCTTTCCGCCCTACCATTTTTACTCTCTGCAAAAACATGGAATTGTTTTCACTCAATTTTCAAATACATATGAATTCTGTTCTGCAAAACAACGAAGACTATATGATGATATATATATATATAATTTTGTTCGTGGGTGTGTGTTTTTCAAAGTATACTAGTCAGACACAACACATATTCGAAACGAGAAACGTGCTGACGGGTTTTTATTTTTAATTAAAAATATTCATATTTTATGCATTAAAGTATCAAACGTGCGTTGTTGTATAAATTTTAATATATTAATATTACTTAAAAATAAATAAAAAATAAAAAGTAATAAAAAAATTACTTTTTACCATAGCAAATAGAAGTAGAAGACGAAAAAAAAAAAAAAAAGACAAAGTAAAATCATAAATAATTTTCAAATTGAAATAAATTAATTATTTTCATTCGAAATGAAAATATTTCAAAATATTATATAATTCATATAGATAATTAAATTATGTGTATGTGTGTGTGTATAATGATTTTAGATAGACCCTTATATACAATACACACCCACATACATAGAAAGAGTATACATAAGTTAAGTAAGTACTTATGTAAAGAGAGAGAGAGAGAGAGAGAGAGAGAGAAAGAGAGAGAGAATGAGAAAGATGCATACATATTTTCGTTGGTTGAGACAACGTCAGGAAATTAAGAGGGTGGTCTCAAGGGTGACATTTCGTACTTCAAACTTCTGCCTTTCGCGTGAAACTTTTCTCGACATTGTACTTAGATTTATCTCTTTCGAAGTGTCGAACTGCTTTCGAAAGAGAGAAAGAGAATGAGATAGAACGAAAGTATCTATGTATAGATATACTTATACTTATATCTATGTATGCGTGTTTGTGTGTGTCTATACATGTCTTTCTATGTATATGTTAGAAAGAGAACGTACTTTGAAAGCTAGGAGAGGCTGCCGCGGTCAGAAATAAATTATTGTCGACCGTGACTAGTGTACAAACATCGCATTTTCTGGATAAAAGGACTAAAAGTACACAGCTAGAAGAGATCGTGATGTATGATGTAACAAGGAAACCAACTAACAACAAAAAATAAATAAATAAAATAACAAAAATAAAAAATAAATGCTCAAATAAAACACATACGCACGGACAAACACATGCACACAGACATATCCACGTACAAAAAGAAAATCAAAATGTTTCTTTGATAATTTTTCATTCCTCGTTATATTTTGAACATACTTTTTGTTAAATATATTTTCAATGTTTGTTAAATTTTACAATTTTCTTTTATTTATTTTATATTGAAAGACAAATTTTGTAAAAAAAAAATATATAATAAAGATAGATTAATTATTAATTGAAGTATATGATTATGTAATTGTATTAATATACGTTATAATTATATCATTATAATAAATATTATAATTTATAATATTAATATAATATAATAATATATATAACATAATAATATTATAATAAAATAATATTAATATATATTACAATTATATAAATAATATATATTTTAATATAGTATATAAAATAAATTAAAATAATATTTAATTATAATAAATACTATAATTTAATATTATTACTATTATTATTATTATTATATAATTATAATAATATTAATCGTTCTATTTTAAAAAATCTTAATTATACTTAACACGTCTTATCATCGTTATCAGGTAACTATTACATTAATTTTGTAAACGTGTGTACAATCATCGTTGTAATGCACTTAATTAAATGCAACTTGGCAATAAATACACGTTTAAACTATCGTTGTATACTTTGATTTTGATTTTCTTTTGTGTTATATTGCTGAAAATAAAATTTACATACAAAAAAAAGAGAGGAAGTATTAGTTTTTATATTCTCCATGATTATTATATTATATTGATTCATCATAAAATATAAATTAATTATTAAATTTGTATAATTTTGCACATGCACATGTAAATCAAGTGTTTTCATTGACCTATTTTCATACAAACATCGTTTTCATTTTCACTTTAAACGGTAACCAGTAGTAGTTACGATTTCATACTGCGACAATGTGAACATTCGTATGCGTTTGTCGTAAGTAAAAAAAAAAAAAAAAAGAAAGAAAAGGAAAAAAGGAAATGGAGAAAGATACCTAGGAGAGAAGAAACAAAGAAAAAAAAGAAAAGTAGGGAAAGAAAATACAAGAGAATAAAAAACTTTTCCTATTGGTTTTCCGTACCCTTTTAAAAGGACGTTCCTTTGTTTCCACGTTAAATAAGATTTTTGTCGTGGCAAGATCGTGGCTCGATTTCAAAGATCATTCTCAGTTAAAGGGTTGAGGGAGGGGGTGGAAAAAAAAATTTAATTTCAGCCATACCGAGTTCACAGAAATTGTCTTTTTATTTGCTTTTTTAATTTTCCCTACCTTTTAAGAAAAAGATACAAACGAAAGGGTTTTTTGCATTTGAAAACCATCCTTGCTGACTGACCCTTTCTCTTTCTATTTTTTTTTCTTTTTCTTTTTTTTTAGCAATGACGTACAATGAACACGAAAGTATATTACATGTGATTTAAAAAAAAAAAAAAATTAAGGGAATTACTCGGTTATAACAAACAATTGCAGTTGTAAAACAACGAGTACGATTCATTTTTTATACATTTTTTTTATTTTTTGTTTTTTGTTTAATAAAATATATATATATATAAATCTCTTCAGAGAAATGACGAAGAAGAAAATAATAAGACGAAGAACCACGTTTTATTTTCTTTTCATTTCGGTTGTTTAAATTCGACGATTATAAATCACTGAAACGCATCATTTATTTAACAACATTTTCAAAAAGAGAATACAATAAACATTGTAAAAGAGACAAAAACAAAGTAATAGAAGAGATAGAGATAGAAAGATAATAATAAGTACAACGAAAAATATAAAATTTAAAAGAAGATAAAAAAAAAACAATAAAAAAAAAAAAATTTTACGACTTCCAATTTTTCTGATTTAACGATCAAATTTAATTAATATTTGGTAAATAAAATTTGATCGTATTTACAATTTGATTCCGTGCTTTTCCGCCTCGTTTTTGAATTTAGCTTGGAACTCGCCAGTTGGGTCGTATTTCTTAGACAATTTTTCCCACAATTTTGGTCGCTGAAATGTTAGAAATAATTATATTACAATTAAATTAAAAAAATAAATGCACACATGTAAATAATGTTTAAATAAAAAATTCAATACATAATTCGATAAAACAAATATAAAACGATATCTTACGAAACAATGTGGATTAAAATAAATATGAATTTTTTATAAGTTATAAAATAAATCTCTGTATAAAAAATGAAGTGATAAAGTAATCAAATTAATTTTTATTAATTAACAATTCTACGAATTCTATGGAAAATGTAACGCATTTAATCGGAAATAAAAATTCAGTCTTATTCGATTAAAATTAATTGAATATACTGTTATTTTTATAAAGGAAAAATTTATTATTCATCAAAAAAAAAAAGAATATTTTATTAATTTTATATTAGAATCAATGCACGAAGATATCGTTTACTTTTTACTCGATTATAAATCGTTTTAATAAATAAATTCTTTAGAATTCTATACATATACATATAACACATATAATCTATATAAGAAAAATTCAATAATTATATTTATTTTTAATAAATAATATATTTATTAATATATTTATATATTTATTTATATATAATATAATATAATAAAATATATATATATATATTATATTTAATATAATATATAAATTAACTATAATTGATACAATTAACTAAATATGACTTATTTTAAATATATATCTATATAAATATTTATTAGAATATTAATAATTAATATTTACGAACAGTTTATTCTTACCTTTGTTTCTAATCCCTACTCACCCCTTCTTTTTACCTTTCTTATACCAGTTTTATATCGAGGTCGAATAAAATGCGAAGTATGATGGCAAAAAGTGGGGGTTGGTTTATGAACTTTCGTGGATTTTGTATATACCATCCCCCCTACCCTTATCTAACTCCCGTCATCCCTTTACTTTCCTACCCCTTGTGAATTTATTTTCATCTACAATCTACTTCTTCGTAGATAACGATTTGCGAATTATAAAATCTCTAATCAAATATTTATCTCGTCTAAAATTATGAAAGCGAAGTATAAACAAAAATTGCTCTAACAAATTTTTAATTCGTTCGTTTCATTTCAACGTTGAATAAATAATTGAATGGCAATCATAATTCTCGCGTTACGAATCACAAATGATGCATTTTGAAAAATATGTTGTTCGTGTATTTGATCTAGTGATATTCTAGTGATATTATGTTCGCGTATTTGAAAGGATTACTTTGTTACTCGCCTACTGTTGACACCGTAAAAGTAGAAAAGAAAAGAAAAGAAAAGAAAAGAAAAGAAAAGAAAGAAAAAAGAGAAAGAAGAAAAGAAGGGGACAAAAAAAACATCGATTTGTTACGAAATAGAAAGAGAATTTTCTACGTTTTATCACTCCGATCACGATTTTCGTAGCAACTAGAAGAGTGAGGTAGTATAACAAGTCACAACAAGGTATATCCCTAACACCAATATTCTCAACGATAAACTCGAAACACGTATCTACAGATTCCTTGGACTAAACTCTTGGACAACCGTTGAACTTTCTCTAGGCATTTCCCAAAATGCATTCGAATCCATGAGATTATATTTCTCATAGTTCGAAATACCCTCCTACCAACCAACCTAACCACCTTCCTCCTCCCTCTTCCTTCTTCGAACAAATGTTTATGCAAATTTTAACATCTATCTAACATACCGTCTCGAATCATTTACTTCATCGTTTAATCTACATTACATTTTGGTTTTGTTTTTCTTTTTTTTTTTTTTTTTTTTAATTAATACTAACACACAAGATTTTTTATTTTAAAGTGGTCATTTGGTACACGACTACTACTTTGGTACTACGATACACAAAGTATTAAAATTATCTTCAAATTTAACTTCGAAGATTGAATTCTTAATTATTTATTATATCAACGAATACACAATTATTCTAATTGCAAAATAAAAATTAACCTATTGAAATACGAAATATATATTTATAATTATAAGTTATTAATATAATAATAATATATAATAATTAGATATTAAAAATTTAATTAATAATATAATTAATAATATATATATATATATATATATATATATATATATATATATATATATATATATATATATTATTTAAAATATATGTAATACCAAAATAAAAAATAATCTATTAAAAAAAAAAAAAACGAATGTATATTTTTTCAAATAAAACAATGAAAATAATTATTATATTGATTATTAAAATTTTCCAAATTAAATTATTCAAACAAATCTAAAATTGAAAATTTTAATGATTTCTTATCAGAGTATCATGTTATTTTATTTTTCTAATTAAAGTAATTACACAATTTATAAAAAAAAAATGTTGATAATAATTTGACAAATCTGTAAAAATCAAACTGATAATTTTGTTTATAATTAAAACAACACGATTTCATATAACCCAGTTCTTCTTCTCTCGCTAACCCAACTGCATTAATCATGACGAACAATTGTTTCACAATTTGTTTCATTTATACTTTAATAAACCTAATAAAAGGGTGACAAAAATTTAGGTGAATGTACCTGATTGATAAGATAACGGATGACCTTCTCGCTACCAGCCTTTTGTTTTTCGCTGCATTTGCTGCAACCGTTTTCCAATGCATCAGGTAAAGATTCTGAAACAAACAAACAAACAAACATACAGAAATATCAGACACGAAAGAAATCATACGTCAAAACAACCATCCCATTCATCTACTATAAACTATTTATTTTTATTATCCTAATTAAATGTTACAATAAATTTCATTTGAACAAATTTAAAGAACAAATTTATTTAAATACTTTACACGTTTGATTAATTTGTTTAAAACAATACAAACTTAAAATAAAAAAAATTATAAAAACTGGAAATAAGATTTATCAATGTTTATCAATTTATAATTAAAAATCTGAAATACCAATTCACTCTACCACCCACCACCACACACTACAATACAAAACACCCATATCTTAACAAAAATACAAACTCCAAATACAAAAACTAATAACTCAAAGTAACAATATTACAACTTAGGTATGTGATTCATGATTATAAGTTTACAAATAAAAATTTGAAATACCAATTTAGTCTACCACCCAACACCACCCACTACAACACTCTATTACACCCTTATCCTAACAAAAATATAAATTCCAAATACAAAAACTAGCAACTCAAAGTAACAATATTACAACTTAGGTATGTAATTCATGATTATAAGTTTACAAATAAATCTTGAATACCTAGAACCCAACAACCATTGCACAGCTATTCCTAAAATGACTATTTAACGACACCCAAAATTCCAAACTGATCAAATCCGTTAACTAAGAGTTCTAGAAAGTTGTTGGGGGGGGGAGTAGGGGGAGAAGCAGAGAAGTGGGGAGAGGGGGGGAAAGTATGAGATGGAAATTAAGAAGAAGGGTGAGTAAATTATCGAACATCATTGTGTAGAGTTTCGTAAGAATTTCACGAATGTTCACGAACAGAATAGTTAAATGTAAGATAGGGTACCTTGATAGGGGGAGTAAGGGGGTGGAATGGAAGAAAGAAAGGGAGATAGGTAGTAATAGTAGTAGTAGGAATAAGGGTAAAAAGAGGAATAGAAACGTAGCGCGTTGTCCCGAATACAATGAAGAATTTATGAGAGGGATCTTTGAAAAGGGAAGCCGCCCGCACGAGGGTTGAAAGAGGGGAGGATAAAAACGAATGCGCATTTCACGTGCGTTCCTATTGGCTGGACTCTCATAGAAAATTTTCTCTCTCACTTTTTTCTTTTTTTTCTTTTTTTTTTTTTCTTCTCTTATTTTTTCTTTTTTTTTTTTTAAATTTGTGTTCATAGCATCGTACATGAATACATGCATACATATATACATGTATGTATGTATGTATGTATATGTATATGTATATGCATATACCGAATCGATGCTTTCGATTATTTTGTAAACCGATTCGCACTACTACTGTACGTTGAACACTCACTACCCTTATCCTTCCCCCTCCAACAACCCCCTTGCTCATCTCTCACCCTGTACAACGTTCCCGTTCATTTTTCGAACTAGTCTCTCTCTCTATCTTTTTTTTTATATGTCTCTCCCTCTCTCTTTTTTTTATATATATGTCTCTCTCTCTCTCTCTCTCTCTCTCTCTCTCTCTCTCTCTCTCTCTCTCTCTCTCTTTGCTCAACTATCGTTCGTATTTTTTAGCGAAAGAAAACTGCGAAAAAATTGCACTCATCGATCGGTCACCACCACCACTGCTACCATCACTACCACAGGAGTCGGATTGCTACTAAAAATGTCCACGTATTTATTCGAAGTAAATCAACGTTTAACTGTGCCATAAGTTCTATATAATAAAATATATATATATATATATATATATATATAAATAGATGTGTGTGTGTGGATGTATGTCAACATGTATTATATCGAGTTATATAATAACAACAGTTAAAATTAATATATGCAAATTATTGTTAGCATAAATGCATAAACAATTCCTCTTTTTATTTTTTTTATTTTTTTTGTTTTTTTTTTTTTTGACTTGTTCGCTGGACTTTTTTTTTGTTTCTTTTCTTGGTTTTCTTTTTCTGTTTTTATTTTTATTTTTTTATTTTTTCTAAAGTATAAATAACATTTATGTAACGATACGAGTTTTTTTTTCTACTACTCGCGAGGACGTTTATTATGGATATAATAATTGCATAAATAATTGCAATATCAATGATAAATAATTATTTATACTGACAAATAAAAAGATAGAAAAAATAGAAGAAAATAAAAAGAATATTGAAATATACATGCGTAAGTAAGTTAATGATTGATTTATAATCAAATAAAATATACATTTTACATATTATATTTCTATATGTAAAAAAAAATATTATTCTAATCTTTCCTACCCCACCCCCACCCACCTTTCCCTCTGATTCTAAAGGAGTGCTGAAGTTTCTATTTATTTTATTACAGATTTAAAGGAAACAGGAAAGATCATCGTTTCCTTGCAAATACGTGGGGTAAACATCAAGTGAAAGTAAACGTCTTCTTTCCCCTATCGAACAACCCCCCTACAACAGCTGTTATCATATTTTGTTTTTTCCAATGAATCTTCTTTTCAACCCTTTTTTCTTCAAAGAATCTCTTTTCTCTCTTTGTGACTTTCATTTCTCCCTACCACCCCTGTTATCTTGCGATAAGATTACGTTTCTGGAGTATAAATACATAAAAAAAAGGGGGTAGAAAATAAAATAGAAAAATTATTCGTCAGATTCGAGAAATTAGGGTTAACACTTTGTACAAGTGGTGTCCTTAATTTGTCCTAATTTAAAGGATAGATTTTTTGTATGTTTTTTATAACTAAACTTCTAACTGTTCTTGCATCTATCAACCCCTAATCCCCAACCCCCTGTTCCTTTCAAGTACACCTTTCTTCTACTATCCAAAAATCACTCGACTTTTTTTTTTATCCTTACCGTCATTTGCACCAGTCGCTCGACTTACTCTTTACCAGGGAAGTACTTCGGTGTTCCTACTGTTGGTCAACGTCCAAAGAAAGAGAAAGAGAGAGAGAGAGAGAGAGAGATTAAAAGAGTAAGATAGAAAAGCTCTCAAATATCCAACCTAAATTTTCTCAGAGAAAAACCAACTGAAACACATACTAACGTACATAGATATATTTCATTCGATGAAAACCAAACAGTGTGTTGGTACAAAAAAGAAGAACAAATATTAAAACAATAAAAAAAAAAAAAAAAACAATTATTCAATTGTTCAATCAAATATCACAAATATATGATATTTTTCAATAATTTTGTATGTAAAAATTTTAATGAAGAAAACAAAATTACAGCAATAAGAAAAAAAAAAACAATTATTCAATTATTTCAATCAAATATCAAATGTATGATATTTTTCAATAATTTCTTATGCAAATTTTAATGAAAAATTTTACCCTCACATTATGTGTTTTTTGTTTCTTGGAAATCTGACGAATATAATCCAAGAAAAAAAAACAGCAAAAGAGAGAGAGAGAGAGAGAGAGAGAGAGAGAAAGAAACAATTTTTCTTTTATTTTTGTTTGTTTGTTTTTGTTTTGTTTAAATATACGTTTCATGCAAAAACGAATTTGTAGAGATGAGGAAAGAAGAGAGGGAGTGAGAGATAACAAAAAATTAAATATATATTCGCATCTCGTTGTTTTTAATTATATACAGGAATGTTTTATCGAGTAAGGCCACATAAACAGCTTGTGTTTTTTTTTTGGTGGGGGGAAGGGGGGTTTCTTTGTTTTTTTTATATTATTACCTGTCTTTCTCGTGAATTATGTAAATGACTGATGATTGATATAATTATCCAATAACCAGTTTCACCCGTTCGTTTCGTAATAGTTCAAAAATATCTTTATCCAACGTTTACAAAAATAAATGAAACAAATTAAAAAAAAAAAAAAAAAAAAAAAATGCTTAAAGATTTGTAATTTAATCCCCCGTTTCTTTTTACTAAACGAAGAAAAGAATAATACGGAAAAATATTTGAATTTTATCTGACGATACGTTTAAACCATGGAAAAAGTAATACGATTATACGTAAAAAAAAAAATCAAAAAAAAATCTTTCTAAATTACCAATGAGACCTACGAGTTTCGTTTTGTATTTGAATCAGATAAGGGAATGAAATAACAGAATAAGAAAAAAAAAA